GTAAGTCTACTTTGACATATAAAAATTCCTTGGAAACTTCCTTTATCTCTGCCCACCAAGATATAGGTTAGCAGTCATCCTCCAAGCATATGGCCCACTGATATACATCTGAAGGGTCTCATGACTGAGTTTTTATTGGACAGTAATAAATGACCTTTTCCTAACAATAGCTAGCCTCCTCAGGGTCATGGAAACCTTGTTTCCAAAATACGTTGGAGGCTTCTGCTGTCCCTAACCCCCTCTCAACTTGAAAGTATATAATCGGCCACTCCTCGTGACCCAAGTGCAGATCTTTCTGCCTATAGGTCCTGTCCCTGTGCTTTAATAAAACCACCTTTTTGCCCCAAAGCCATCTCAAGAATTCTTTCTTGGCTGTTGGCTCTGAACCCCACCACTTCAAACCACATCAGAACTTACTTAAAAAGAAAATTAAAAGTTTGTGTTAGAAAATCCCCCACGCCCCAGTTAAGCCCAAACAAAAATATCATGTTGGACACATCTGTAAAAATCATATATAGAAGAAATATAAGTGGTTAATAAAAATAGGGAAAAGTGATCAAACTTACCAAGAAATACACATTAAAATTATGAGATCTTTTCACCCAGATGCAGAGAGGTAAGGAATAATAATACCCCATGTTGGGCACCTGGGTGGCTCAGTCGGTTAGGCGTCTGCCTTCAGCTCAGGTCATGATCCCAGGGTCCTGGGATCGAGTCCCACATCAGGCTCCCTCCTCTGCCGGGAGGCTGCTTCTTCCTCTGCCTCTCTCTCTCTCTCTGTCTCTCATGAATAAATAAATAGAATCTTTTAAAAATTAAAAAATAATAATACCCCATGTTGGTGAGGATATGTGCGACAGAAGCTTTCTCACTCTTGGTGTCAGAATAAACTAGTAAAAACTTTTGGGCAGAGGTTTGTTTCCAAATTGAAATGTGGTCAATTAAAAATAATTTTGGGGGCACCTGGGTGGCTCAGTCGGTTTAGTGTCCGACTCTTGGTTTCAGCTCAGGTCATGATCTCGGGGTCGTGGGATTGAGCCCCACATTGGGAGTCTCCTTGGGATTCTCTCTCTCCCTCTGCCCCTCCCCCAGCTCTCTCTTTCTAAATAAATAAATCTTTAAAAAAATTTTTTAACCAACATTCTAGGAATTGTTCCCTAAAAAAAATAATCTGAAATGTGTGCAGGTTTCTCTACAAAGTTGTTAGTTGCAATGCTGTTTATAACCTGAATGTGTGGGTATTGCAGGGGAAACCTTGATTGCCAGCCCCTGCTATCCTCCTCCCCAACCCTAGTCCATTGTTGACAGAGTAGTGAGTAGGGCCCTAGATAAGTGGTATCACCCATGCTTGGAATAAAAGAGTAGTACCCAACTTTGTTCCTCTATGGGCCAGATGAGACCCCAGGGACCAGAAGGGAGAGGTGAAAATTTAAATGCCTTAATTTCTGGAGAGATCTTGGCCTTGGAGATTCATTAAATCGTGAGTATATTTTACTTCCAAAATTAGCAGAGTAATTAAGCCAGGGCTTGGGAAGGGCAGAGGCAGCCCATGTCGATGGTGGCTTGCTGCTCGCCCTGGCCCAGAGAAGCCTGGTTACCTCCCTGTCTCCAAGGCTGGGAGAGGGTTCTGCATCTGAGGAGGCAGGAATTGAGGGTTTCCCTTCAAGTGCTCCCTGGAGTACTGCCTCTGCTTGGCAGCTTGGAATGCGGCTAAGCTACAGGAGTAGAGATTGCTGGCTCTCCTCGAGAGTAGTGCCTCTAGGTTTCTCCCTGCTTGACCCATGGCCATGAGTAGGCAAGAGAAAAATAACAGTACAGCAGAAGAGGCCTTGCAGCCAGAGGGAGGAGGAGCAGACAGAATGCTCAGAACAGGCAGCTCCTGATGAAACAGAACTGGAGGAGACTGATGACCACACTACCCAAATCACTGAGCCAAGAGACAAGGGGCTGACCTTATTTCTTATCTATATACCAGAGCCTTGGATTTATTTATTTTTTATCTGTCAGAGAGAGCACACAATCACAAGCAGGGAGAGCGGCAGGCAGAGGGAGAAGCAGGCTCCCCATTGAGCAAGGAGCCCGATGTGGGACTCAATCCCAGGACCCTGGGATCATGACGTGAGCTGAAGGCAGATGCTTAACCGATTGAGTCACCCAGGCGCCCCAAGGGGCTGACCTTAATTGATTAAACCAATTAGGGACCATTTTGCGGGTGGAATGGTTTTTGTTTTTTTTTTTTTTTTTTTTCCCAGAGGACAACTACCTTGAATAACCCTTGTAGTAACATGTAGTAAGATGTGGTACCTCCTTGTCCTGAGGATAAAAGAGATCCTGTTAGAAGCTTAACACAGCCCTTGGCAAGTAATAAGCCCTTGGGAGAATATTTTCTCATTTGTGTTTAAAAACAGTGTTTTTAAAGTTTGGATGTATATGCCCTTCTCAGTTTTGACAGTTCATCTTTAAGTACTGTGCATAGAACCCTGGAAACAACAATGTTATACCTCTGTCATCACATAGGGAGGGCTTCTCAAACTTTAATATTTCAGTGTTTCAAACTTCCAATGTTTTAAGGCTTCTCAAACTATAAATCAACTAGGGATCCTGTTAAACATAGGTTCTTAGTTGAATGCAAATTCTGATTCAATCTGGCTGAGGCCTGAGGTTCCATATTTTTAACAAGCTTCCAGGGATGCTGATGCTGCTGGACCACAGACCACACTTTAAGTAGCAAGGAGATAGGTAGGGTTTCACTTCTCCCGTGTTACTGAAGGGGTTTATCACTGCATCCATTTTCCATGGACAGGAACACAGGGAAAGGGGAGAAAGAGGAGGAGGAAAGCAAGCAACTTCCTTTTTTTAAACCTCATCTCTTTATTTAAAAAAAATTCAAACCTGGGACGCCTGAGTGGCTCAGTTGGTTAAACGTCTGCCTTCAGCTCAAGTCATGATACCAGGGTCCTGGGATCAAGTCCCCCATCGGGCTCCTTGCTTAGTGGGGAGCCTGCTTCTCCCTCTGCCTGCCGCTCCCCCTGTCTCTGTCTCACACAAATAAAAATTTTTTTTAATTCAAACCTGAATATTTGAAAGAATAATGCAGCAAACACCTACGTACCTGCCAACTCAGCTCCATCAATTGGTAACATTTACACAAATTGCTTTTAAGGACATGACATGGTAATAAGTTTGGCATACAGCCTCACCTTGCTGCAAGGGAGGCTGAGAAATACAAGCCTACCTTGACAGCTATTTGCTTGCTGTAGGGGGTGGGGTTCTGTTAATACAAGAAGATGTGATAAAGCAGTTATTGGAGAAGGAGAAGAAAGACTTGTGGGACAATAGACAGTAGGTAGCAGTTAGCCACCTCTGACACATTGACCCCTTAAATCTTATAACCAGTTGTTCTCTTGGAAGTGGATTCTGGAAAGATCAGAGCTGAAGTTTCAGCCCATCTCTAGAAAGTATATAGGACCTCAAAGTGCATTTTACACACCCACCTTACCACACCCTGTTTGGCCCTCATTTATCTTGCTGTACTGTATGGATCTTTCTAATCAATCTTAAATCTTTTTTTTTTTTGCAACAAATTTAATTTATAAATAATTTAATAATGACACACTAAATATAATTGTGTGAAGTCCTCAAAATGTTCTGAATGGGCCCAAACACAGTTCACCACAGCATCTTTGCTTTCAATAGCATGTTTGCGGTCCTTAAACATGTAACAGTGCAGAGGTGTAAAGAGTATTATATCAATTTTCATTTTGTTCAAGTGTTATTTTCAGCTTTCTTAAAAAAACAGGAACTTACAGAAACTGTTACAAAAAGGAAATATAAATATGGGTTGCTTTATATAAATCAAGATTCCATCAGCCTCTACACATCATACTATGTAGACAACAATAGATTATTCCTTCTTGTTTTATATTGTCTTGTTACCTCTCTCTTTTTTTTTTTTTTTTTTTTTTGAGAGAGCACACAAGCGAGGGGTGAGGGGTGGAGGAGGGGGCAGAGGGAGAGGGAGAAGCAGGCTCCTGGCTGAGCAGGGCGAGGGAAGTGGGAAGTGGGGCTGGATGGCAGGATCCTGGGATCATGAAGGCAGACACTTAACAGACTGAGACACCCAGGCGCCCCGTATTACTCTTGATCTATTTATACCAGTTACTTTAAAAACTTCTCACCTCTTTACTTTTTCCTTTTCAAAATGTTAAAAAAAATATGCTTTTAACTTTTCTAAGATAGTGTTATTTTATTTAGACTTTTGACCTGTGATAACGTTTATTCTCTTGGATATGAATGAAATCCTTTTAGGGTGGATTATTCTAGCCTTTGGCTGTAAGCAGGTCCTTCTTATTCCACCCTTTGGCTATGTGGACCACTTTTATTTGAAGGCAAAGAATAAATTCCTGCTTTAAAGTTACTATCAGATGTTGCTCAACTCGGGTTCCCTACCAACAGAACTTGAGTTCGATCTTGTGATACAGACCCTCCTGCACCTTGAGTGCGACCGACCCCTACCCTTTGGCACGGCGACAGCCCTCCACAGCCTTTGTGCGTAGACGGACTGGCTGTCGTGGACGCGGCCTACGCTTCCCCGGCTCGACGCGCCGCCGGGCGCCGGGGATGGAAAAGCCCGAGCCCCAAGCCCAAGCGAGGGGAGCGTCAGCCCAGGCAAGACTGGAGAACAGGGAGCAATCCCTGTCTCGGGAGCCCCCCCGCTCTGCGTGTGGGGCACTCAGCCGGGCCCAGAAGGCACCAACCGGCCGGCTTCCACCGGCGGGGGGCAGGAGGGGGCGCCGGGGTCGTCTACGTCCGCCAGCGCAGAAGCGCTCGGCCGGCGGCCTGCCTCGTCCGCGCCTCCGCCCGCCACCGGGCCTCACCCGAGACCCGCCCGCTCGTAAGATGGCGGCGGCGGCGGTGGCGTCCCACGTGGGGGCCGGCGGCCAATGGGCTTCCGGCCTGCGCCGCCGGCCCGGCGCGGGAGGCGGAAGTGCCGCGGGCCGCCGCCTCCGTCCCGGCTGCGGCCCCTGCCGGTTACATAACTCGTTTCGGGCTCCGCGCGGCCGCACTTCTTGGCTGCCTGCGACTCCAGGATGCTCTGAGCCCCACGACGGCGTCCGCTGCCGCCGGCTCCCGTCCGAGGTGAGGCTCCCCCGGCTCCGGCCTGCGGTGGGGCAGGGGTCTTGAGGGAGGAGGGAGCCGCCCGGACCCGGGCCGGAAGGGAGAGGCGGGGCCCGAGTCGGCCGCGGCGGGGCGCGACCCACGCTTCTAGGTGCCCAGACGTGTACGCGGGGTGACGAGGGGGCCGCGGAGCTCGCGCTGGCGGAGGCTGAGGAGGGCCCGCGGGGCGTCCGCGGGGTGAGGACGGACGCGCTTCCCAGAGCCGCCCCTCCCCCCCGCGCCCCCTTTGCCTGGGTGCCTCCCGGCCAGGCCCCAAGACGAGTTAGTGGGAGGAAATTTGGGACCAGAGGTCAGGCTGCCCCTCGTTTCCCTCCCGGTCTCCCTCCTGCTGAAGGGCCTGGCCTTTTCGCAGGTCAGCGGTTCGCCTGGCCTTGCCTTTGCTTTGGTACTTGTTGCGCGGATTGTAGTTATTTGCCGACTTGTTTGCCCTCCTGTGAACTCCGAAAGCCTGGGGTTCTGTCTTCGTTGTCTCCGACTCTTTCGTCCTCAGCTGTACCTTTTGGTTTTAAGATGCGTCAATTTCTTACGTTTTTGATAATTTACAGATTGGCCATGCAGACCCTACGACAGCTCTGACCTCCTCCACCAGATCGGGCACTTCTCAGGGAAGACTGGGAGCCTGTAGCTCCTGTGGTGACGTGTCCCCGTGGGAAAATTGTGAGGGAGACTGTGGGTCTTCTCTGGACCACTGACAACACATATCTGTGTGCCCTGCGGGTGCCGGAGCTCAGGACCAGGAGTTATTCTGCAGTAAACGTGGGCATTGGCAGCTTCATTGATCTGTTTCACTCTGCCAAGTCCTGAGCCATAAGATTTTGTTACTCAGTTGTCCTGATGGAAAAGGATAGCAGCCCCACACAGTAGCTCCCTGTGGCGCCCGGGTGGTTGGTAATTGGAGTGTCAGAACTGGAGAGAACATTGCTGGTTGCAGAAGTGTCACCAGAGGACTGAAGGCAGAAAGCCTCTAGTTAGTGATTAACTGAGTGATCCAGGAAAGATAGGTGACTCCAGGTCATCTAAAAAAATACCACAATTCCTATGACATCTTGTGATGTAGAGATAAGTGTGAGAAGTTATTTGGCCCGCGAGGCAGGAAGGAGAGGAGTCTTGAGCATCACTGAATTAAAAGGGGCTGGAACAAAAACAAATTTTGTCTCTCACGAAAATCTCTGAATTGCCTTGAGTTTGGAGAAGAAGGGAGTAAACACTAGAAGAAACTCAGGGATGGCTGAAATATAAGTCCCGGTCATCTTTCCAAATGGACAGATAAGTCATGGCAGTGCGCATAGGTCTTCAAGCCATTTAGGATTTGTACCCGTCAGAAGCAGTGTGCAGCTCGGCCCTGGAGAGTGCAGTGTGCCTGAGCTCCTTCTCCGTTGGGCCACAGTTGGCTGCAGTTCCCTCTCACTGAGCTTGCAGAAATGCTGGGATTCTATGAAGACAGTTAAAACCTGTACAAAACAAAGTCAAGGCATGGTGTGGCGTTGACAGGCCAGAATAAAAAGTACAGGCATGTTTTTAAAAGGTCTTTGTGTAGCTTTTGCCTCTCTGTAACTTGCAGTGACTTTGTCATCTGTTTATTTTAACCACACCCACTCACAGACTTCAGATATGACTTGAAGTTGCTTAGTAACAGCATGCCTCAGTCTGGGATGGAAGAAAATTCCTGGATGGTAGGAGATTTGAGAGATAAAAGATACTTACACCTGAACCGGGGTGATGCTGTCATTGCTGACTGGGTACTCGGCTCCAAGACTGTCTGAGCATCAGGAGACTATTAGCAGCATTTTGGTTTCTAGCAACCTGACGTGTGTTTAGACCAGATGGACACAGCATCCTTACACCCAGCTGCCCCAGGTAACACAGTGTAGAGAAGAATCCTCAGAGCTCTGAATTTAGGCTGGCACACGTCTTTGTCCTGCTGAAATAGCCCAGAGGTCTCAGCTGTTTGTGACAGCTCTCCTACCTGAATAGAGAGCTGGCTGCCTATCAGGCATTGTCTTTTCTTAAATGGTTGCTCCTCCGTGTCTAAGTTTTTTCTCCATTATCTTCCCTTGACATCTCTTTCTGGAAGGAATCCACAAAGCCCTCGTGGTTTTTCCATTTCTGTTCCTTGTGTGCAGAAAGCAAGCTTGGGGTGTAGACCCCATGTCAAAGCTGGTCTTGCTTATGTCTGTGTGCATTGCTTTCAAATAAATACTGATCTGCAAAATAATGCTGGACCTCATGGGTCTCTTTCTGGCTAAGTTCATATGCTGATTTTTTCCCCCCAGGAAGTATTTGTGTCTTTGATAACATCACGATCAACCCTCCTTCCCTAAATATCATTCTTTTTTAGCACTAAGAGTCCATTTACGGGCAAAGCTCCTCTGATAGGAGCTAGCTGGCAGGCCAGTTCTGGGTTAGCTGATTAAAGAGAGACCCATGCATCGGAAAACCCAGTGAGCAAATGGTAGGTTAGTGTTCTCCTGTGAACCTTAAGGCATTTGCTCAGTTCTCATGGAATAATAGGAAGGACGTCTGGACAGGGAGCCAGGGCTTTCTGCGGGAGGTGGTTTGGGGTCCAGGTCAACAGTTGAACCAGTGTTCCCTGGAGCCTGAGTGCCCCACTGCGGAGGCCCGCATGCATGCGACAGTCGGTGGTCACAGCACTGAGCTGAGCTAGATGGTCAGGTAGAGGAGTAACAGCCCATGAGGGCTGGTCCTTTGTTTGTCCTGTCTACATCTCAGACTCCCCATCTCTTCACCTGAGATCAACTTCCTGCTCAGGTAGGGCCTGTGTGGCAGGAAGGGGGCGAAAGTACCTATGAATGTGACAGTGTAGAGATTTTTAAATGTCTCTTCAAATTGTAAGAATGATTACCCATTTTGCCCCTAAATGGACTCTTAGTGCCAACTTTTACTCCATGGCCTTGGAATAGCATGGCATTTTGTCTACTGATGCAAGAAATAAACCTAAAGACAGATTGATAGTCGTAAAGAAGCAAAGAGGAGGTGCTTGTGGAAGGGGACACAGAACAGCTGTCTGAGAAAGTCTCTGTTCAGTTTGCTTCCATAGGAACACCAGAGAAACATATTTTGTCATCTTTAATAAACCGCATTAAAAAAAAATCCTTCCAGTTCTATTTCTTGAATAGTTACTGTTGTTAAAAATCAGATTGCTTTCCTCTTTTTTTATTTCCTGAATTCCTGAAATATGATCTATTTGGGCAGTGAAGTATTGAAATTTGAGCCCATGTTGAAAATGACCGAAAAGAAAGCAGTTTCATTGTATAAAACAGCCTGTGGGTAATTGTCCCTTAGGTACTAAAAAGAATTCTTTTTTTTTTTTTTTAAAGATTTTATTTATTTATTTGAAAGAGAGAATGAGAGACAGAGAGCATGAGAGGGAGGAGCGTCAGAGGGAGAAGCAGACTCCCTGCCGAGCAGAGAGCCTGATGCAGGACTCGATCCCGGGACTTCAGGATCATGACCTGAGCCGAAGGCAGTCGCTTAACCAACTGAGCCACCCAGGCGCCCCCTAAAAAGAATTCTTATCTGGAAAATGTTGACACAATATTTACACCTTTTCTGTAGTGTTCATGGGAGTGCTGCTGAGTACTTGCTTCAATTTTGTTTCTTTTTCAAACCACTCCTTCTCTCTTTAAACTCTGCAGAAGGGCTTGCTGGTTCAGAGAGTTGCTACTCTTTCTATTCTTAGTTTCAGATTACTTTGTTTCTCCTCTGGCCATCCATTTTTAACAACTTCATTGAAGTGTGCCAACAGAAAAAAAGTACACTGCTTGACAAATGGTCATGGGATGAGAGTACCTCTATACCCACCACCCCAAAGACCCTTCAGCCCCTTACCAACCAAGCCCTCTCCTATTTAAAAACAACAACAAATCATTAAGATTTTATTTATTTGAGAGAGAGAGAGCTGAGAGGGAGCTGAGCGAGAGAGAGCATGAGCAGGGGTGGAGGGGCAGAGGGAGAAGGAGAAGCAGGCTCCCTGCTGGGCAGGGAGCCCAACGCTTGCTGGTTCCCAGGACCCTGGGATCATGACCTGAGCCGAGGGCAGACGCTTAACTGACTGAGCCACCCAGGTGCCCCCCAAAAATCATTTTCTCGTAGGAAACACCAGCAACATTAACAGTCATTTTACTGGGGATGGGGTGAATAGGGGAATCTTTTTTTTTTTTTTTTGAATAGGGGAATCTTAGTTTTGCTTTATATTGCATGTGACTGACTTTACTGTGAACATGTGTTCATAGTAAAACAAAAAAGTTTGCAAGAGCATTTCCCTCCTTCAAGAAGAGGGAAATGTTTTTATCTTATTTTAATTTAATTTAATTTTAAGTAATCTCTACACCCCACATGGGGCTCAGACTGACGACCCAGAGATTAAGAATCGCATGCTCTGGGGCGCCTGGGTGGCTCAGTCGTTAAGCATCTGCCTTCCGCTCAGGTCATGATCCCAGGGTCCTGGGATCGAGCCCCGCATCGGGCTCCCTGCTTGGCGGGAAGCCTGCTTCTCCCTCTCTCACTCCCCCTGCTTGTGTTCCTGCTGTTGCTATCTCTCTCTGTCAAATAAATAAATAAAATCTTTTAAAAAATTAAAAAATAAAAAACAAAAAAATTTAAAAAAAAAGAATCGCATGCTCTTTGGACTGAGCCACAGGAGCACTGGGAATGTTTTTTTTAAACCTTTTTAAAAATGGTCATCTAAAACTTGTAAATATTTTAAATTGGCTTTTGTAAAGCCACTTAAAGTGTTGTTTAATAATTACACAGGAGCCCTTTACAATATGTTTACAAGTCTGTTTATCGTCCTTATCCACAACTACGTCCTTTTGCTTCATTACAACTTTGAATCTGTGTTTAGAACATTTATTTCTGGTACCCGTGCACAAAATGCCATGCTATTCCAGGGGTCTGGGATTTGAAAGCACTATGAGAGACTGTTTGGGGGCAAATGGGTA